GAATGGATGAGAAAGCACTTGGCTACACAGCACGTGTGGGGCACAGACCCTGCAGCGTGAGGGGACAGAGCTGAACAGGGGCACAGATGTGGTGGTGGACGGAGAGCTTGTCATGGACACGGTGCCTGTGGTAGAAACGGGGAGAAATCCAGAGACAAAGCAGTGAGACACGAGAAGCAAACTGGCTAATAAGGGAGAGTGGAAAGTGGAGTTTTTCCTTCATTCGCTCCTCAAAGGAATTCAGGAGTGTCCCGTGCACCAGCAAGTGGCCGCACAGCCAACCCTGGGTAGTTCTGCAGGGTGAGCACAGCTAATGCTGGGAAAGAGAATCTCATTGTGTTAAGTGAGATCTAGATTATGGAAAAGATTAAGCAAATGAACAGCATCAAATCAAAATGAGAACAGATCATCCATGAAGTGAAGCCTCACCTGGAGCACTGCGTCCAGATGTGGAGTCCTCAGTGCAGGAGAAACAGGCCTGTTGGAGTGCATCCAGAGGAAGGCCACAAAAGTGATCCACAGAATGGAACACCTCTCCTATGAAGACAAACTGAGAGCTGGGGCTGCTCAGCCTGAAGAAGAGAAGGCTCCAAATTGACCCAAGAGCAGCCTTTCAGTATCTAACGTGGAGCTTAAAGAGGGGATATTTAGATTGGATATATGGAAAGAGTCTTTCCCAGTGAGGCACTGAGACAGGTTGCACAGAGTCGTGGTGGATACCCCAACCCTGGAGACTTTCAGTCAGGCCCCGGGCAACCTGACTGAGTTGTGGATGTCTCTGTTCATTGCAGGGAAGTTGGACTAGATGACCTCTGAAGGTCTCTTCCAACTCAGAATTCTATGATTCTATGAAATGAGGTTGGCCTTACACGTTGCCATTTTGCATGCAGTCCTTGGAAGTGCAGTGGAACATCAGATGATTTGCTACCAACACTGGGTGACCCCACAGGTGCTGCTGTGAGGACACAGTGAGGCAGAGCCCACAGTGCAGCTGCTGCCCCATCCTGCTGCCTGCAGTCCTGCCCAGACACAACAGGGGCAGCTCAGCACACTGCTGAAGAGGTGGCTCCCATGGGAGTCTCTGTTCCTCAAAACAACAGCACTATTTGGGAACTCTCTCTGCTCCCCATTCTGCGCTCAGAGCAGCCTCCTCAGCCCAACAGTGGGGAAACTCCAGAGGCAGCCTCTGAGTGCTGTGCCCTGAGGGAGTTCAGCACTGGTTCTCCCTCCCATGCCTGCCCTGCATCCCTCTCAGCAGCCCCACAGCTCTGCACACCACTGAGGCTTTCACCCCAGCTCCATTCCCATGGCTCTGGTTGCACACAGAGGTGGAGCACTGCCAGAAACAAGCAAAAGGGGCTACAAGAATTTAAGACGCTTTCCAGGCATGTCCTAGGGATGGTATCTCCCACTACAAGTTTTCTGTGATCTCTGCTGCAGCCAGGAACACTCAGCACTGATGCAATTCACAGCCTGCTGAGTGAGATGGAGCGTGTGGCAGGCAGTGCTGCTGTGCACAGGGCTGTGCCTCATGCAACAGCGCCAGAATGCAGTGCCCAAACTCTACTGAAAAGGGGCAAATACTTCCCTGTGTGGTGCAAGAAGAATCCAAACCCAGCAGAGGAAACTGACCATACCAGTGCCAATGTCTGCATTGACAAAAAAAAATCCCACACAAACAAACAAGAACTGAATGGTGACAAGGAAGAATTTTTCATACTCTTTTTCCTTTTATCAGGAGCCATCAGAGAGCCATAGCACATCAGTGACTTTCCCAGCCGCCTGCAGCACACTGCCCATGGGATCCGTGCACTATTTGTGCACTTTACAGAACTGGCCCCAGAGATGAGCTTCAGAAACAGCATTCCTCCACGCACTGCTCCTCTTCAAAAGAAACATTTGCATAATATTGCCATTCCCAAGCAGAGAGGTCAGGTTGGCAACAGGGGGAGGGCGAATCCCACTTCTGCCTTTGAGTGCTTCCAGCACAAAGTTGGGGATCTGCAGCACAAGTGAGCACAGCGTGGGCTCCTGGCCGTGCTGTGCTCAGCTCTGTGCCGGGGGGCAAAAGCTTAGAAGCATGGCACGGCTGGGGAGCCCAGCAATGCAGAAACACAGCCTTCCACATGGCCTCATCTTCTAGGGCAAGCTACTGCCCTTGATCTCATTGCCAGACCCTTATCTCCTCCTTCAACAAGCAGAAATTGTTACAGGTGTTATCTGTGAGTGGTATCATGATTGCAGGGCTGGCCACAAAGAAGAGCGTGTGGTCACTGTGCTGAGTGATGTGTAACCCACACAGACCACAACTGGACCAGAGAATGGAATCTGCAGAGAGGTACAGCCAGCACATATGGGGCCATAAAGCAGACAGCAGCAATAGTGTGGGGACCACAGGGTGAGCCAGGTTTCTCTGTATCCCGAGTTCCTCTATCACCTTCATGCCCACTGTGACAACAACAGTTCCCCCTTTGCATTTATTTTAGTTTAAAACAAACAGCCTAAACTTCTTACTTGCTTCCACATTCTTAATCTTAAAGTCACCTTGACCCTGTGAGCTTCAATTTATTCTAACAAGTCAGTGTCTCATTTCTCAATCAGGTTATGTGGTCACCTTACAGACTGCAGGCAACAGTCACTCAGCTGGCAGAGCAGAGCAGCCCCAACCCTGCAGTGGAACAAAAGCTTGGATTAATTTGTTAATCATACATAAGCATTGCTGCCACATTCACATACACTGTATCAAAAGCTTAACGTTCAGTCAAGTTGTGTTAATGCCTGCCTTGTCTCCTGTGTAACACAGCAGCCTCTAAACACAGGCAAACCCCTGCACAAGCACAGGGGCAGGCAGCAATGCTGCATCCATCACAGCCCTGACCCCACTGCTGCTACAGCCCCGTCCCACACCGTGCCCAGATGGCAGCAGCAATGGGAATCCAGGGACAGCATCTGAGCAGGGTTAATGCTGGGCCTGGCTGCTGCTGACCATCGCATTTCAGCTGTGTGCCACCAGCACACCTCAGCCCTGCCAGGCAGCCACATTCTCTCAAGGCTTTGGAAGGGAAACCCCACAACTAAACCCACAGTGCTCTACATAGAAGGAATGTAGAAACAGCTCCCCACAAACATGCTAAGAAACAAAGGTTGTGTTCAGGGCTTGCTGTTGCATACAGGGTAAGGCATCTATCTGCTAAAGTGCCTGTATCTAACCCAGATTTGCAAGCACTCAGAGAAAAGCAGGCTGTACTGCAGCTGCCCATGTTTCAAAGGCACAGGAACCTGAAGTGCAGTGGGACAGTACCACTGCTGAGAGCCCCCAGAGCACTTCTGCCTCCTTCCAGGAACACGGCTAAGGCGTTGGGCTTTCTGTGCCAGTTGGCATCCCACATCAACTGGGGTAGGATCACCACCAACCGCCTTTGGAAACCAGCCGAGTTACACGAGGGCCAAGCAGACTGCCCTTCAACACAGTAACATCACTGTGAAATGCTCCAGGTCCCTCATCCCTCCCTCCTTAGCAATGCTCTGCCCAAGCTGGACAAGACACGCTGCCCCCAGCTCCAGCCTGGCTTGCTGCTGCTGCAAAGCCAGGAGAAAACAAACCCAAGAGAGCAGCAGCAGAGGAATTGTATGTGGTGCAGTGAGCAGAGATCTCACCCAGACATACACAAACCTGAGAGCATCAACCCAGGCAGCTTCAGCCTGAGCACAGCCTGGAGTTCCTCCCAGCACTGCACCTAACACACAGGGGGGTAAAGCACCACTACTCACTCTCCATGGCCACGCAGCAACACAGAAGCACTGGGTCCAAAGCACCAGGTCAAGGTGTTCTAAACAATGCAGGGTCCCCCCTGAGCTCTGCTGCAGATGTGGCTGGACACAGGACAGCAGGGGATGGAACAGAGCACCACATACACCCAACCCTGCCACGCTTCACCCAACATTCCTTACCTACAAGCAGTTGTATCGCATGGGCTCGCAGGCAGACAGCACAGCTCTGAGCTTCACCCGCTGCAGCCAGGCACCTCCATCTCCAGGTGCCAGTAATTGGGAAGCAAAACTCCTTCAGCTGCACCCATCCCCAACAACTTCACACTGCTCTCAGCAGCTTTATATGGCTCAGGATCAGCATGCTGTGCACGCAGGTCCTGCTGCTGGCGCTCAGTTCACAGCTGCACTCAGTGGGACCCTTCCTTGCTTTATCCCTTCTTCTCCCCCTTCCCCCCCCCCCCCCAAATCTGCTTCTAAGTAGAATGCACAAATACATCATTGGGTAACAATCACTACACTACCTCAGTACAAAGCAGCAGAATGAGCACAGCAGCACAGGCGGGATGTGTTTGCACGAAGCTCATTTACAGGGAAAATCCCATTGCGTTCCAATCTCTGATCGCAGCGCCCGGCGAGGTGCAGCGCTGCGCCCAGGCTGTGCCTGTGACACCACCTGCAGCTGCTGTGCCCGCAGTGCCCACTGACGCTTTTTGGTTTCCAAAATTCAAGGAAAATTCCTTCACTGTTGTTTTCTCACTCCTGGTTCCATCGGCTGCAGCGACTCTCTCCGTCAGTAACATTTTTGCTATGAGGAGGGAATCGCTCAGTCACACACAAGCGTAATGTTTGCCCGCTGCTTTGCACCGCGTGTGCCCACTGTACAGAGACAGCCGTCTCCTTTTTTAAGGCTAATTCACCAAGAAAACCACTTTTGACCAAGCGCGTCTTTCCAAGCGCATCAGTTTCTCCTTTTCCGTAGTTCTGAATACCGTTTTATCTCTACCCAAAACACACCTACTCGTACTCAAGCCGGAGCCGCAAAGCCCGCTCTGTGTTTCCACGCCCGCGCACGGCACCGTTCGATGCAGAACGATGGTGCTGCGGTCGGTTATCACACACCGACGGTGCTCGGGACGCAGAGGAGCTCCGCCCGCACGCGGCACCGAGAGGAGCTGCGGGAGGAACGGGACGGAAGAACGGCGAGCGGCAGCGGGACGGGCGGCACTCACCGGACGTCTCCGTAGGCTCCGGTGTAGCCCTCTGCCCAGGGTCCCAACTCGCTCTTGATGTAGGAGCCGGGGGCGGCGTAGGGCGCCCGCCCCATCGGGTACAACGCGTCGGCGGCGAAGTCGGCGTTCTCGGCGTGGCCGCAGCCGAAGGCTCCGGGGGCAGGCTCGGCGCAGGGCCCGTAGAGCTGCCCCTCGTCGGAGAAGAAGGGGGGCCACGGCGGCGCGGGGACCGGCGCGCCCCAGGCGCCGACGGCCGCGGGCTTGGGGGGCCTCTCCAGCTTGATGCGGGCGGGAGACGAGAGGACGAAGCAGTCGCGGCCGGGCGGCTCCTCGGGCGGAGGGGAGACGCGGTACAGCGGCAGCCCCGCGGGCATTTCGACGGCCAAGGCGGCCTCGGCGCCGCTGCCCTTGAAGGCGGCCGGTGCGGGCGGCTCCGGCGGTTCGGCGACGTCGGGACGCGGGGCGCGGGGCGGCCCTGCGGGCAGCGCGAACATGCAGTCCTCGCGGGGCGGCGGCTCTCTGGGTGCCTCCAGCGCCTCCACCGCCAGCCCCATGGAGGCGGACACGGCTTTGCAGAGCTCCTTAGCGCTGTCGCCCAGAAAGTCTTCCTTGGGCGCCGGCTCGGCTCGTCCGGCCCCCGGCTCAGCCTCGAGCGGCAGCAGCGGCAGCGCGCTCGGCTCGCCGAGCAGCTCCTTCAGGTCCCCGGCGCACGGGAAGGGCGAGCCCATGGCCGGGCGGGCGGCGGCGCGGGGCTCGGGCAGCGGCAGGAACACGGGCGAGGCGACGGGCGGCGGACGGGGGCTCTGCGGGCACGGGGCTCCCGGTGCGGGCAGGCCGGGCCCCGGCTCGTCCCGCGGCGCCTGGAACGCTTCGCACACGCTCTGGAAGAACGTCTGGAAGGCGCCGCGGAAGGTCCGTCCCGGCGGCCGCGGGTACACGCGCCCGATCCCCAGCTGCACCTCCATGTCCTCGGCGCGGTCCCGGCGGCGGAGCGAGATCCGAGCGGCGCTTCCCGGCCGCGGCCCCGTTAGCGGCGGCTCAGCCCCTCGGTTCCCATCGCGGCGCGGGCTGCGCGGGGTTCCGCGCAGCAGGCGGGGAAAGTTGGGCCGGGAGGTGCTCGGGCCGGGCCTCCGCCGGCGTCTGCCGCGCTCGGCTCCTCGTAGCGCTTTTGATCGGCTGCCGGGAGAGCGGCGGCGGGAGGCAGGATCGCGCCGAGAGGAGGCGCGGAGACGGAGACCGCCCAGCGCCGCGAATTCGGTCCCGGGTCTCCGCAGTGATTAATCCGGTAACTCGCGGGCGGCTGCGGGGGCCGCTCTGGGGGCGGTGAGAGCGAACCCCGGGGGCGGCTCCGCACGGCGCGGAACCGCAGCGCCGCCGCCCTCCCCGCCGCTCCCGGGCTCAGTGCCCGCCGCGGAACTCGCGGGCGGATTGGGGCCGTCGCGGGCTCTGGGAGGGGACCGGGACCGCTCCGCTCTCGCTCTCCTATTCCCAGGGGCCGCTGAGCTCGGTTTCCCCCATCCCCTGTCCTTCCCGTCTCCGGCACACGCGTGCTTCTTCGGCCCCTCTTTGGCCGCGAACGGCCGACCCGATAATCTCTGAAGTGTCCCCGACCTGCACCGTTCTGCCCTTCGCCTGCTCCAATCCGCGCGGCAGGGCGGAATGCAGGGAGAAGCGTTCCCCTCGCTGGGCGCTGTCACTGCCGTCGGGACTTAGCCCTAACATGCCCCTTTGCACTTCAGTATCTGCACACTTTTTTCTTTGCACGTAAAGAAGCCCAGCGCCCTTTGTTGGCAAGCAGTGAGGTGGTGGCTGCGCACTCCGTTCCCGGCTCCACATCAGCCATGGGAGCAGCAATGCGTGCCCCCGTCCCGCAGGCAGCGCAGAGCTGCGCCCACGCCGAGCCCCTCTGGCCAAGCAGCCAACAGAGCCCATCGGTGTAGGACCTTTTAGCCAAACAAGGCTTGAGCTCCCCTTGCTGGCCCGGTCACCACAGTCCTAAGGCTACTTTCTGCGGTAGGCGCCGTTCCCAGGTAACCCGATAGCAGAGATGTGTGCATCTGACATACAGCGGAATAAACCCATTAATTCCAACTCATTTGAAGACAAAGGAGGAAAGAAAAGCAACGATTTGTTGCAAATGGATGGGAAGCGGAGCCAGTTGGGAAAATGAAGGATCATTTTCCATCTTTTAAAAGCGTTTTTATAACCCGGGGAAGATGGAAAGAAATAAAGCGAAACGCAGCCCCGCGGGGTTTGGCCGCGTCCCCACACCGAAGGCAGCGCTGGGCTGCAGCCCTGGGATGAGGGCTGTGCGTGGGCTCCGGGCACACAGGGGACGCCAAACGGGCTTAATGAGGAGTGGTACAGCCCTGCAGGGGGAAAGCACAGCTGAAACCTCAATGTGTAAAAATAGAGGGAGATGCCATAGTACACGTGAGCAGCGTCCATGCAGACCAGCGCAGAGCTCAGCAGTCCCACACACACAGCTGGGTCCACCCAGCTGCATGTGGCTCCATCCCAGGGCTCTGTGGGGCCGGGGGGCTGTGAGAGAAGGAGCTGCCTGTGGGCAGGGTCACATGGAAAGGGTTTTCACAGAGGAATACATTGACGTGCATTCTCCCAGAGAACAGATACAAAGCTTTGGTTGGATTTTCTGAAACGTTAGCAGCAATATTTCAAAGACCATTTTTTCCCCTATTTTTGCACAGGTGAGTTCCTGTTACAGCCGTGTAGTGATCACGACCTGGCCCTGCTGAAAGCTGCTCTGTGCTCCAGTAATGGTGGCACAAAATCAGAATCCTCAACTGAACACTGCAGTGGTATCCCCTGAGAAAGATGGAGAAGAGGAGTCAAGTGTCCAGAAAGATCTGCTGCTGCCCCAGAGGCAAGCAGGCGCCTGCCAAGTGCTGTGGATTCCCTTTGCTCCTCCAGCAGCCAATAGCTGAGAAGCTCCAGAGCAAAATACATAGGCCCTGGAAAACACCAAGAGGAGGATTCTCACAACTAGCAGTAAGAAATGCATTGGGAAAAGCTGAGGGTCAGCACTGTAGCGTAACATCACCCAAGGAACAGACAGCTGTGCTTCAGAGAGGTGCTCCCATGTGTGATGCCGACAAGCCGTGCAAGAACTCGTTGGCCACCACCATGGCCATGAAGAAAGTGATGTCCTCAGCCTGCACCTATGGAGAGCACTGGGATCCACGGGGACCTGGGGGAAGTCTGTTGGAATAATCCGTTCTGTTTGGATTGGATATCCCTGTGCCTTTGCATGTGTGCTCCTGGCTCTCAGCTCTGTGGCTGGTGTAGTTCTGCTGCCCCGGTCTCTCCATCCCTTGGCAGTGTCTGTGGGCGCATTGTGCCACAGCTGCAGCTTCTTGTGTGAGACACCCAACAGACGTGCATGAAGGACTGGGAAATGCTGCGTTCCTCTCAGCACACAGAGCCAACATTCTACTTCTCTGCCTGCCTGCCTGGTTGAGATTGATTGTTTCACGAGCAATTTTGTGATTGGAACTTCACATAAGCATGAAGAAGGCTCTTCCTTCTTTCTCTCTTTTTTTTTTTCTCTGCCTTCATTTCTTTCCTTCCTTGCTCTTTCTCTCCCTCCCTCCCTTCCCTCATTTCTTTCTCCTGAAAAGCACTTAATTTTCCCCACATTCACAGGTTTCTTTTTAAGTACTACTAATGGATTTTCTGGTCTGCAAGCATATGATTGAATGCTATTTTTTAAAGGCTTCGTGTATGTCAATCTTTGTAATTATCTGAAGGAGAAAATTGTTGCAACTGCTGTTGCACTCAGTGCTTTATTTGTAATTGCTATCCTATTAAACGTTGCATTCTGCAGCGTTTTGGAGTTGTTTTGCTGCTTTTACCGAAGTTTTCCATAGAACTGCTCTGCACAGTGCAGCAGTCGGACGCAGTATCCGATTTGCATCCATCCCCCTCCGGGTGCTGTACACAAACCGAGTGAAATGGAAGAAATCTGTGGAAAGACTGAGCAAAACCTCTGCCATGGATCATTCTTCTGTAGGTAAGCTGGGCCACGGCTTTGATTATCAATCAGTTACAAATGAGCAGCAGCGTGATCCTGTGTATCTTTTGGTAAAGGGCCTTCCCTAAGTGAGCCCTGCTTTGCATCTCAGGCTCCGCAGTTTCAGTCGGATAAATGCTCACTGTGAGAGCGCAGCAGCAGCGAGGCTGAGCTGTGCTGTGAGCCCACAGGGACCACAGCACGGCTGTCCTGAGCTGCTGGGTGTCCTCATGGGGGATGTGGGGGGAGAGGGGACACAAAAAGGGAAACATTTCAGCACGAGATGCCAGAGGCTGCACTCTAAGAGAAACATCACCTTCTCTGCACTTCAGGAGCATTTTCTCAACATAAACAAAACATCGATTAATTAAACACATCTTAAAATTGGAAACGTGGATTCCACCCTGAACTTGTGAAAATAAACACGGCGGCACAACGAGGCTCTGCTCCGACCGCCGGGTCACCGTCCTGCTGGCAGCCACCAGCAAAGCACCCGAAATTTCCATTCACTGCGAAGGCAAACGGCCGGGTGGAACGGCCTGGTGGAAGGGGGCGCCTCTCATTCCACAATGCAGTGAATGAAATGTTCCTTTCGAAACAGCCCTCATCAAACTGCATTTCAAAACCGAAGTACACATGAAGAACTTTAAGACCCTTTTAATATAGGGGTGTTCTCATGTAACAAGCATCGAAAAACCTGCCAAAAAAAAAAAACAAAAAAAAAAAAGGTCGGAGGTGTGCTTTGATATTTGCAGTATTCCTCCCTTTAGATAAGTAGGGAAGTGGAGCCCTTGGCAGCAATCCACCTTCCATCAGCATGGCTCACACAGCAGATTGCAGGCTGTTTGTGCATCCAACGAGCTGTGTGTGCTGAACATGCACTGCAAAAGCAGATGTGGGGCTGTGTGTGTTTGGGTGGTGGGGAGGAACCTCAGTGCTTTGTGATCGGCAACACAAAATAGCATCTTAATATAGGAATCCAATCTTAAAATATTAATGTCTTCTTTCATCTTGTAGAAAGCCAGTTTGCCTGTGTTTTTATTACTCCAGTTATACACCTTACAAGCAGTTTCTCCATTATTGGAAAAGAACACACTCTTCTTGCCTTGAATTCAGACATCTTAAGCATAATCCAGGAGCAGAAGGAATTACTCCTTTTACTTCGTGTTAGGAATGCTGGAGGTTGCCATGCCTCTCTTTTTCAGTGGCTCCATCGCTGCAAACCTATACCCTCAGCAGCTTCTGCACACAGCTCTATTACATTGCCTGTAGCTCTTCCCTCGTTGATACCTCCAGCTCTGTTCTCAGTGAGAGCACTGCTGGGCTCAGAGAGGTATGTTGGACTTCCAACCCTCATCAGCAGGGGCCGTTTGGAATCTTTACAAGGGTGTTCCTGAAATCCTGGCCTTCGTGACACTGCTTGCAGTGCTCAGTTCTCAGCTCCCCAGGAGGATGCTTGGTGGGGCAAAACACAGCAGGGCTGTGGGCAGGGGCTGAAACCAAAGCTCCCATTGCTGCTCACTGTGGCAGTGGCAACGGCCCTGCAGAGACTTCACAGCCCTCACCCAGAGCACGTGCTTTCTCCTCACAGCCAGAGGAGGCTCCTCATCAAGAGGTTTCCCTGGCGAGAAGCTGAGTTAAATCAGGAACTTTGCAACAGGTAAGCTCACAATCTGGAGATGTCAAACAACCGTTCAGCCTTAGAAAGATGAAGGAGGCATTGACCTGTCGGAATGGAAAGAAGCACACGGCACTCTCACATCAGCCTGATGCACACCTGTCAGGAGCTGCACTTAGGCACGTGGGCAAACACAAACACTGCCCAGCCTGTGCTGAAGGATAACAAATACAGAACTGGGGATGGATTTATATTTTTGAATGCAAATGCCACAAGAAATTCAGCAGTTTTCTTTGACGCTCATGACCACAACAGCACAGGAACAGGTTGCCCAAGGAGGCTGTGGATGCCCCATCCCTGCAGGCATTGGAGGCCAGGCTGGATGTGGCTCTGGGCATCCTGGGCTGCTGGTTGGTGACCTGCACACAGCAGGGGTTGGAACTGGATGAGCGCTGTGCTCCTTTGCAACTCAGGCCATTCTATGATTCTATTTTCCTGTATGTTATTCTCAGACTCTTTCCTCCACCAAGTCACAGATCACACAAAGCTCCCTTCAGACAGCTGTCTGTGCCTGCCTGTAGCATACAGCTTCACAAACGTCTGCTTTAAAATAACTGCAGAAAAATTGTTCCAAATGGTGCGTAAAGTTTCTGCTTCAGCTTAACCACTGATATCAT